AACTGTACGCAATACTCCAAGTGCGGCCGCACCAGAGTTTTGTACAGCTGCAACATGACCTCATGGCTCCGAAACTCAATCCCTCTACCAATAAAACCTAACATACTGTATGCCTTCTTAACAACACTATCAACCTGGGTGGCAACTTTCAGTGATCTATGCACATGGACACCGAGATCTTTCTGCTCATCCACACTACCAAGAATATTACCATTAGCCCAGTACTCTGTATTCCTGTTACTGCTTCCAAAGTGAATCACCTCACACTTTTCCGCATTAAACTCCATTTGCCACCTCTCAGCCCAGCTCTGCAGCTTATCTATGTCCCTCTGTAACCTGCAACATCCTTCCGCACTATCCACAACTCCACTGACTTTGGTGTCATCCGCAAATTTACTAACCCATCCTTCTACGCCCTCATCCAGGTCATTTATAAAAATGACAAACAGCAGTGGCCCCAAAACAGATCCTTGAGGTACACCACTAGTAACTGAACTCCAGGATGAACATTTCCCATCAACCACCACCCTCTGTCTTCTTACAGCTAGCCAATTTCTGATCCAAACCGCTAAATCACCCTCAATCCCATGCCTCCGTATTTTCTGCAATAGCCTACCATGGGGAACCTTATCAAACGCTTTACTGAAATCCAAATACACCACATCAACCGCTTTACCCTCATCCACCTGTTTGGTCACCTTCTCAAAGAACTCAATAAGGTTTGTGAGGCACGACCTACCCTTCACAAAACCGTGTTGACTATCCCTAATCAAATTATTCCTTTCTAGATGATTATAAATCCTCTCTCTTATAATCCTTTCCAACACTTTACCCACAACCGAAGTAAGGCTCACTGGTCTATAATTACCAGGGTTGTCTCTACTCCCCTTCTTGAACAAGGGGACAACATTTGCTATCCTCCAGTCTTCTGGCACTATTCCTGTAGACAATTGATAAAGTCCCTCAGAAGAGACTGTGGGTTAGCTAAAGTTGATCATCACCAAATGGAATGCAAATTGTTGAGCTAGTTAGGGAACTAACTGAACAGCAGAAGACAGAGTAGGGATAGTGGCATGCAGTAAAAATTGACAGGATGTGAGGCATTAGCAGCATGCCATTGAGATCTGTGTTGGCGCCTCAGAATTCACTCTGTTTATTAACAATATACATGTAGCAAAGACAGTAGGAATCAGGGGATATCTCTAAAACTGGTCGGTCCCATATCTGGCACAAAGGAAGATTATTGTGGTCACAAGAGGCCATTCATCCTAGCCCAACAACATCACTACAGGAGTGCTTCCACTGACAATTCCACAATGTTCATTTACGACTCCTCAGATACTGAAGCAGTCCATGTCCAAACTGCAGTGAAACCTGATAACATTCGTGCCACACAATGACCATCTCTAACAAGAGAGAATCTAACCATAGCCCCTTGATATTCAATGCCATTGCCATCACTGACTCCCTCACTGTCACCTGGGGGTTAATGTTGGCTGGAAGCTGAACTAGACGTCCCATCTAATCACAATGGCTGCAAGAGCGGTTCAGAGGCTAGGAATCCTGCAGCGGATAATTCACCTTCTGACTCCCAAAAGCCTGTCTGCCATCAACACAACACAGGTCAGGAGTGTTATACAATGCTCCCTATTTACCTGGATGAGTGCAACTCCTACAACATCAAAAAACTTGATGCCATCCATGACAAAGTCTGCTTGATTGGAACTCCATCCACCATTCACTCACTCCTCCACTGGCACAGAGCAGCAGCAGTGTGTACCATCTACAAGATAAGCTGCAGCAACTCACCAAGGGTCCTCCAATAGCACCTTCCACCATCTAGAAGGACAAGGGCAGCAGATATATGGGAATACCATCGCGTGCAAGTTCTGTTCCCGGGCACGTACTGTCCTAGAAGCATATTACCATTCCTTCACTGTCATTGGGCTAAAATCCTGGAACTCCCTTTCTCACAGCACTATGGCTGTATCTACACCAATGGACTGAAATACAGGAGCAGGAATAGGCTGTTTGGCGCTTTGAGCCTGCACCACTATTCATAAAGATCATGGCTGATCTGGTTGAAGTCTCAGCTCCGCTTTCCTGTTTGCCTCCATAAATCTTGACTCTTATCTGCCAATAACTATCCAACTCGACCTTGAATAACTATAACGGACAGGCCTCCACTACCTTCTGTGGAAGAGAATTCCTTGTTCTTATGAAGCTTGAGCGAAAATCATTTTCTTTGTCTCTGTCTTTTTTATTCTTAAACTATGTCCTCTAGTTTTAACCACGCCCCAATGAGGAAACATCCTTCTGGTATTTACACTATCTAGTTCCCTCAAGATCTTTATATGTTTTAATAAAGTGGCTTCTCACTTTTCTAAACTCCAATGAGTGTAGGCTGAACATATTCAGCCTTTATTTGTAAGATAAGTCTTTCTTTCTAAAAATAGTCCCGTTTTTGATGCAATTATATCATTTTTCAAGTAAGAAGTCCAAAATTGTACTCCAGCTGTGTGATCTCACCAAAGCCTTTTACAGCTGTAGTACAGCTCCCTACTTTAATATTCCATTCCTCTTGAAATAAACAACGACTTCTATGTGTCTTCCTAATCACTTGCTGTACCTGCATATTTAACTTTATTTATTAATGTACCTGAACCCCGAGTTCCTTTGTACTACCTGCAATTTCTCCCGATTTAAATCGTAAGCTGCTTTTCTGTTCTTTCTGTTAAAATGGACAAGTTACATTAACCCATTTTTTTTGCTCACTCACTTAAACTCTCAGAACCACAGAATTATTACAGCACATTGTGTCTATATCCCTTTGCAAACTGTCTACTTCCTCCTGATAACTTACTTTCCTATCTACCTAGCTATCAAACCTTCAGTCTGCTGATCCAAATCAATGATATAGATGATATATACTTGAGGACTACTCACACTCCACTAGTTACAGCTTGACAACCTGAAAACAATGTGTTTATCCCCACTGTATCTTCCTGTTAGCTGACCAATCTTTCATCTATGTTAATACATTACCCCCTACAGCATGTGCTCTTATCTTGTACTGCAGCCTTTGATGCACTATTTTTCAAATTCCTTTGGAAATATCAAGTGTACCAAATCTATCAGTTTCTCTCTATCTACTGTGAATATTACTTTGTCAAAAAGCTCTAATAGATGAAATATGATTTCACTTTCAAAAGGCTCTGTTTGATCACATTGAGATTTTCTAAGTATTATGCTATAACTTCCTTAATAACGAGCTGCAGCATCTTCTGTATGAAGGTTAACTTTCTAAAGTTTCCTGATTTCTGCCTCCCTCCTTTCCTTGAATAAAGATGTCATATTTGCTATTTTCAAATTCTCTGGGGCCCGTTCCAGAATGTAAGGAATTTTAGAAGGTTATATCTAATGCATCCACTGTCTGTGCTGCCATTACATTCATGACCCTAGGATACAGGTCATTTAGTCCTGGGGACATGTCAAACAGGTAAAGAAGGCAGCTCAGCATGGCTTCCTCAAAGACAGGCAGGGAAGGGCAATAATTGCTGGCATTGCAAATGATGTTCACATCCTGGGATGAATAAAAATAATGGCAGAAAGCTATGTGTCCCAAATTTGCCAATGGTGTAAACATAAGTGGCATCTCATTTTGTCTGCTCATTGGACGTAGTCAGTGTAATGTCAATAATTCCCTAGTGGGGCTTAAAAAGGTGGTGATGGACCACAGCAGTCTCTGTCTGTACATCCACAGTGCCGAAATTCAGGAATTTTTACAGTGAAGGAATGACATTGCAAGCAGCTTCTGTTTCGATTACAAAGAGATATTAAGAAACAAATTAAATAGATGGGCAAAACTGTGACATATGGGTTTTGATGTGGACTTCTGAGATGAAAAATTAAAAGTGGAGGTTCTAAGAGACTGTCCATTAAATATTTATTTGAGTATTTGCACTCTTTTGTAATCTTAACTTCCAGCTGGTCTTCTCTTTTCTAAAGAGAAGTGTGCCTTTTTCAAAGAGGTAAATGCTCTCCATTCTTGTAAATCTGTGTGACACCTTACCCAGTACCATTATTTCCTTTCTCTATATGAGAACCACAACTCTGACAGACGTCCCATTGTGTTCTTAGTTCAATCAAAGCAGACGTCATGTTCAGGTGTAGAAAAGAGTGGGAAGGGCTGGTGAAATGCTGGCCTTTCTGTCTAGCAGAGTAGAACATAAAGTGGTAGAAGTGGTGCTTCAGTGAAACAAGACCCTGGTTTGATCACAACTGGGGTTCCTGTGCCTCTCCCTCAGGAAGGATATGTTCGTCCCAGAGGGAGTGCAGTGTAGATTTACCAGAAACTCCCAAGGGATAAATTATGGGAGTGACATTACACAAACTAGAATTAAAAGCAAAAAACTACGGATCGGGAAATCAGAAATAAAACAGAAAGTGCTGGAGAAACCCAGCAAGTCTGGTGGCCTCTGTGGAGAGGGGCAGATTCAATATCTTCACATCCGCTATGACACTTCTTTAAACAAATTAGGATTGTATTCCCTGAAATTAGAAGATTTTGATGAAGTATATAGTTTCTTGCTTATTAAATCTCTTAAAGAAGGCATGAAGTCTGTCTCAGTAAGGCTCCATTATTATATTTCATGCAGATAACTTTAAAATTGAGGTAAATTCGAATGGAATTTTTTCTTTAAATGCCATAAAAGACTAACCTTTTTAACTTGTGTATGTGTCACAGCAATAAAATACTTCATAAAATAGGCAACTTAATCCTCATACAAAGTACCAAATCCAACAACAGGTTAATTAATTCTTTAAAAAGCTCTTTGATGATTTAACCAATTTTAGTTCTTGATTATCTTTCCACAGACCAGTGTGCTCCCAGTGTTGTAAAAAGGTGCGTTCAATATATTTTTATCTGAATGTATTCACCTTTCTTTACCTATCAAAATGTCTCTTTTGTTGAAATCCATTTTTTGTTTGTGGTTTAGATGCGACTACCCTCCAAACCATACAGCAATCTTCCAATCTTTTCGTTGGGACCTTCAGCTTTGCCAAAAGAGGGGAAGGTATCGAAATCTGAGAGGCTCTCAGGCAGCCGCCGTCGCCATGATGGTCAACACAAGTGTCTAGTCAGGTACAAAGGACCCCACCAATTCCTCAGTACAAAAGGAAAGCATTACAGATCAGTCTCAGTTATTTCAGAGATAGTAGGAACTGCAGATGCTGGAGAATCTGAGATAACAAGGTGAAGAGCTGGATGAACACAGCAGGCCAAGCAGCATCAGAAGAGCAGAAAAGCTGACGTTTCGGGCTTAGACCCTTCTTCAGAAATGGGGGAGGGGAAGGGTGTTCTGAAATAAAGAGGGAGAGAGTGGGAGGCAGATAGAAGATGGATAAAGGAGAAGATAAGTGGAGAGGAGACAGACAGGTCAAAGAGGCGGGGATGGAGCCAGTAAAGGTGAGTGTAGGTGGGGAGTTAAGGAGGGGATAGGTCAGTCCAGGGAGGACGGACAGATCAAGGGGGCGGGTTGAGGTTAGTAGGTAGTAGATGGGGTTGGGGCTTGAGGTGGGAGGAGGGGATAGGTGGGAGGAAGGACAGGTTAGGGAGGCGGGGACAAGCTGGACTGGTTTTGGGATGCAGTAGGGGGAGGGGAGATTTTGAAGCTTGTGAAATCCACATTGATACCATTGAGCTGCAGGGTTCCCAAGCGAAATATGAGGTGCTGTTCCTGCAACCTTTGGGTGGCATCGTTGTGGCACTGCAGGAGGCCCAGGATGGACATGTCGTCTGAGGAATGGGAGGGGGAGTTGAAATGGTTCGCGACTGGGAGGTGCAGTTGTTTAGTGCGAACCGAGCGTAGGTGTTCCGCAAAGCGGTCCCCAAGCCTCCGCTTGGTTTCCCTGATGTAGAGGAGGCCACAACAGGAACACCAGATACAGTATACCACATTAGCAGATGTGCAGGTGAACATCTGCTTGATGTGGAAGGTCTTCTTGGGGCCTGGGATGGGGGTGAGGGGGGAGGTGTAGGGGCAGGTGTAGCACTTCCTGCAGTTGTAGGGAAAAGTGCTGGGTGTGGTGGGGCTGGAGGGAAGTGTGGAGCGGACAAGGGAGTCATGGAGAGAGTGGTCCCTCCGGAAAGCAGATAAGGGTGGGGAGGGAAAAATGTCTTTGGTAGTGGGGTCGGATTGCAGATGGCGGAAGTGTCAGAGGATGATGCATTGGATCCAGAGTGGGTGGTGGGGTGGTACGTGAGGATGAGGGGGATTCTGTTTTGGTTGTTATTGCGGGAAGGGGGTGTGAGGGATGAGGAAATGTGGGAGACACAGTCGAGGGCGTTCTCAATCACTGGAGGGGGGAAGATGCGGTCCTTGAAAAACGAGGACATCTGAGATGTTTGGGAGTGGAATGCCTTATCCTAGGAGCAGATGTGGTGGAGGTGAAGGAATTGGGAACAGGGGATGGTATTTTTGCCAGAAGGTGGGTGGGAGGAGGTGTATTCTAGGTAGCTGTGGGAGTCGGTGGGCTTGAAATGGATATCGGTTTTCAGATGATTGCCAGAGATGGAAACAGAGAGGTCCAGGAAGGAGAGAGAGGTATCAGAGATGGTCCAGGTGAACTTAAGGTTGGGGTGTAAGGTGTTCAGAATGTGTGGTTATTGGACCATAAGATATAGGAACACAATTAGGCCATTCGACCCATCGAGTCTGTTCTGCCATTCGATCGTGGCTGATATGCATCTCAACCCCATTCTCCTGCCTTCTCCCCATGACCCTTGATGCCCTTAATCATCAAGAACCTAGCTACCTCTGTCTTAAAGACTCTCAACGACTTGGCCTCCATAACCTTCTGCGGCAATGAGTTCCACAGATTCGCCACCCTCTGGCTGAAGAAATCTTCCTCATCTCAGTTCTAATGTGTTATGCCTTCATTCTGAGGCTGTGCCCTCAGGTCCTAGTCTCTCTCACGAATGGAACATCTTCTCAACGTCCACTTTATTCCAGCCTGTTTGAAATTACTGCAGATTCTGGAAATCTGAGATGTAATCGGAACATACCGGTGTGTAACCAGGTGTTTCTAACTAAACTAAAAAGCAATTGCAATTTAAAGCTTTTTAAATGTTCCTATTAGTTTGGTAATTGTTCCTATTGTGCCCAAAGGTTCCAGTTTATCCTTTGGAACCTCCTCAAAGACTGGCAAACAAACACAGTTAGCAGATGGGATGATGGTGACCAGTTCAACCTGGGGACCTGACAATTAATTAAGTTTGAGAATGGGGAAGCTGTAGTACAAATTTTGTTTAAGGCCATTGGGAAATTGAAAGGGGCGCTGTTTGTACTGGAGGTAATTTGTGCTAATTCTGCAGCTTTTCCAATGAAATTACCCCTCTTTGGGGCAAATTGTCCCGAGCTGAACGGTGTTAGTGAGCGGAAACTGTACCCCACCACAAATAACTCTAATCACCAAAATGTTCTTTTTTTTTACTCTTGCCTAATGTGAGTAAAACTGGGACCCAGGAATCCAGTGAAGGTCATGTGGAAAAGTGCACTGGGCTGCGCAGGATTTACCATTACAGATGTTAGAAGTAGAAGCTGCGTAATATTGCAAAGTTTCAACAGTGAGGAAATTCCAGTTAGAGTTTCAGCAGGAGAGAGAAGGAGGGAGAAGCAGGTGATATTGCGAAGGTGAACATGGTCTGAGATGGTAAAGGAAGATAGGTTTACAGTTGGACAATACTGGCAATGTACAGCGATAGTCACTATGTTACATCACAGATTTCCAGACATCAGAGGCTTTGCAAAAGAGTAAAACTATCTAATGCAGCTCAGATAGAAGTGGTTGGCGAGCCGAGTCTTCCTGATCCTATTGGAGTAAAGATTTGTCCAGTTGAAGCCACACTTCCTCACTTGTCCAGTTGTCTTAAAACGAAGTCAATATTTCATTCATGTTTTTGGTTTTTTTTTTGCTTGTGTATTTGTTCTGCTCCCTCATCATTAAGAAATACGTCTTTCTCGGATGTGAAGTATTACACCTTGCACATCTGCACGTTCACCTTTCTCTGATGTGGCTTTGCTTATTGAATATTTCCCTTTATAACTTTCTTCTTCCATCCATACAATTCCCTTGATCCCAATGTAAAAACAGGGACCAAGTGTTCACGGCACCAATCTGCTGGTCTCTTATTACAATCTCACCTGCATCTGTCATCACACTGTCGCCTTTACCACTCCTTTAAATATGTTATTAAAAATGTTTGCTGTTAGTTTTAATAGGCCTCTTTTTCTTATTTTTTGTTCGTTTGTAGCTTTTTATAGCTCTTTCAGTCCGCAGAATTTCCGGTGTGGCTTTACTCATAATTCCCCTTTTTAACATCTCCCTTCCATTGACACAACTCCCTGTTGAAAAAAGGTACGAAATGTTAATTTAGTAATCAGCTAGTTCCTTATTGTGGTCTCATCTGTAAATATCTTATACATTCAACTGCATGTGTCCGATCTTCCCCTGAACTGGGCTTGAAGCAGCAGTAGGGGAAGAGGTGAACTCACTGTAAATTATTTTCTGCAGTTCAGCAAGAAATTTCCAGCTTTCCTGACACCAAAACAAAATGTGAAGAGTCTCAGCCAGTGCTTCTACCATATCTTTTAAATTAACTGAGTGCCTCTGTATAGTTCTCAAGCATAATATAAATACCTTTGTACAATAGGAGGAATGTAGCAGATATAAGTTTTTGCTGTGGCATTGATGATTTGAATTTGTGATTGATTGAACGGAAATACTTTTGTCCTGAAGTTTAGGGTTCACCAAACATATACGCCCAGTCCCTCTACACCTGCATTCCCCATGCAGATGGCCTTAAGGCCCTCCGCTTCTTCCTGTACCGCAGGCCCGACCAGTCCCCCTCCACTGACACCCTCATCCGCTTAGCTGAACTTGTCCTCACCCTCAACAACTTCTCTTTCAATTCCTCCCACTTCCTACAGACAAAGGGGGTAGCCATGGGTACCCGCATGGGCCCAAGCTACGCCTGCCTCTTTGTAGGTTACGTGGAACAATCCCTCTTCCGTACCTACACCGGCCCTAAACCCCACCTCTTCCTCCGTTACATTGATGACTGTATCGGTGCCGCCTCGTGCTCCCACGAGGAGCTCGAACAGTTCATACACTTCACTAACACCTTCCACCCCAACCTTAAATTTACCTGGACCATCTCTAACACCTCTCTCCCCTTCCTGGACCTCTCTGTCTCCATATCGGGCAACCACCTCGAAACCGATATTCATTTCAAGCCCACCGACTCCCACAGCTACCTAGAATACTCCTCCTCCCACCCACCTTCCTGCAAAAATGCTATCCCCTATTCCCAATTCCTTCGCCTCCGCCGCATCTGCTCCCAGGATGAGGCATTCCACTCCCGTACATCTCAGTTGTCCTCGTTTTTCAAGGACCGTAACTTCCCCTCCTCGGTGGTCGAGAACGCCCTCAACCGTGTCTCCCACATCTCCCGCACCTCATCCCTCACACCCCGTCCACGCAATAAAAACCAAAAAAGAATCCCCCTCGTCCTCACGTACCACCCCACCAACCTCCGGATCCAACGCATCATCCTCCGACACTTCCGCCATCTGCAATCCGACCCCACCACCAAAGACATCTTTCCCTCCCCACCTTTATCTGCTTTCCGGAGGGACAACTCTCTCCGTGACTCCCTTGTCCGCTCCACACTCCCCTCCAGCTCCACCACACCCGGCACTTTTCCCTGCAACCGCAGGAAGTGCTACACCTGCCCCCATACCTCCTCCCTCACCCCCATCCCAGGCCCCAAGAAGACTTTCCACATCAAGCAGATGTTCACCTGCACATCTGCCAATGTGGTATACTGCATCCGCTGTACCCGGTGTGGCTTCCTCTACATCGGGGAAACCAAGCGGAGACTCGGGGACCGCTTTGCAGAACACCTACGCTCGGTTCGCAACAAACAACTGCACCTCCCAGTCGCGAACCATTTCAACTCCCCCTCCCATTCCTCAGACGACATGTC